GGGTGTGATCCTCCGCAAGGAGGCGCCGCTTTCATACCGGAACTCGTTTTCCTGATTTATCGTCCTTTCATCGTGGATCACTTTCACTGCTTCCATGTCAATACTGAATTAACAGGATTCAAAGCCGCCGGGTTTTCACGGTGAACAACCATAGCCGCCGGGCTAAAAAACGGAATTCCACTTGAGGTCAGGCATGTTTCCCACAACCCTTCCCCCCCCAGTTCTACTCCCCACCTAATTAGGGCAACGCAGGGAAATGGTGCTCGACACACTTGTGTGTCGGTGCCTTTCCCTTTGTTGTTCCTGTTCTAGTCTTCTCTACCCGGGCGGTCTAAGACTAAAGTCCCGCTCCCTAACTATTGCACGTAATTCGTTTCTGCTAAGTAGTCAGTAACCCTAGAGTGCTAGGTAGTCATACACACACACACACACACGGACACACACATGCCACATACACCCCCTCCCTGCCCCCCGCTTTCTTTCTTGCGTTTTTGGTCGTTTCTTGGGCTTTCTCTCAGGCTTTTTAGGTTGTTCTTGAGGCGCATTTCCCTACCCCAGTCAAGGGCTAAGTATTCATTTTTTCATTTTTCTACTCCTATCTTTCTCTCTTGCCCTCTTAGCGCTGCTCTTTCTGTGTTTCTTTCTTTTGTTTCTAAGGCTTTTTAGGTATCTATTCAGGCCTTCCACGCGAGCGCCGCCAAGCGGCACCGTGTGTGTGTGTGTGTCAACCCCTGTCTCCAAGGGTTCCACCTCACAATTTCCACTGCCCAAGCACGGGGGACCAGGCATCTCGCTGCTAACCTGGTCTAACAAAGCTAGGCAGCGAGATGGGAAGCACTGAGAGACGTCTCGGTGTGTACCTGCTGAGTTCTTCACAAGCTGTGACCCTCCTTCTCCACGGTTTGTTTCATGGTGGTTCGCATGATACTTCCCGCAAACCTTTTCTTCTGCCGCTTGTCCTGCAGCTGAGCCGCGTTGATGTTCGCCACCGCAGACATGTCAACAGATTGTTAAAACCATACAAGTGCGCTGACCCTCTCACCTTTTCCATCGCCACTTTCCTGGGAATTGAGCTAACTGAAAACCAATGTCAGAATGTCAGAGTGTGTGTTGTTAGTCTTCCAATGCTAGTCTGTCTACTCTATGGTGACTTCGCTGATAAAGGGCCACACATTGTCGGACTCAGTGGTTCGAGAGCTGGTGCTGTTTTGGTTGGGCCCAGTTCCAAAAACCTGGCTGATACCCGTTGGAACAAGCATGTACCCAATTGGAAAGATGAAAAATTGTTTTGATGCCTACAAAGGATTCCATAAAAGGTTGTTGGGTCATAGCAAAGTTACCAGTTAACTTTCATTCTGGAAATACAGCGTATCCGTCCTGCCTTCTTCCTGCCATTGTTTTTGTTGCCTTTCCTTGACTTTCTGTCCCGGGTCTTGAACATTCTATGCGGTAAACAATTGACGTGTTTCATCTTGTTTCTACAATGTTTGTAGCGGCGCAGGAAAGCATTGGTTTTTTTGTGTGTGTTTTATAACTTGGTAACGTAGGGACCTAGGGTCCTTTGTCCTGTATGGCAGACAAGTCTCCCCTGGAAGAGCTGCCAGAGTGTAGACAAGTCTCCCCTGTCAAGAGCGAAGAACTGATTCTGGGCTGTTCTGTAGCCGCTAGCCTTGTTTTTGGCAACGCCGCCGTTAGCGGCGCTGAGTATCTTGCTGAGTCTGATTTTCACATCAACGTTCTTCCCTCTCACAGTGTCTTTTGGGGTCGGGATCACAGGGTGCTTCACTTTCAAAGAAGTTTGTCAAAAGAATTGGCCACCAAAAATGCCATTAGTGAACCACTCAACCCAAACATCCACAATTGGGTTCTTGCATGGCAGTGGAGGCACAATGCCAGGATCAGCTGTCAAGACTTGTGGCTGGCACTGCCCGAATTCTTCGAGTGACCTACAGGAAAAGGTGCAATCCAACATGTATATAATATAATCTATAATAATTTTTTTTAATATCTTAATATATATGTTTGTGTGTGCAAATTACTCAGCGCCGCCAACAGCAATGTAGCCTTGTTTTTTTTGGCACGCCGAAACCTTTCAAACGGGAGAAGCAAGATTGGAGAGTGCACCGCGGACAGCAAAGGATTCACAGAATCTTGGCTTTAAAACTTTTACATGACTTGCGAAGGCCTCTCACATCATCGACAAACGCTATATGATGCTATATGTCCCAGTAGGGAACAGTCAAATTCATTGCAGGTACTTCTTGGCCTGCAGCAGAGCATCAAAACGTATGAGTGTACACATCCAAACATCATCAACCATCAAACATCAACTAATCAATCATTGTATAGTCACCAGTCCCCTCAAAAAGGGATACCCCTAGTTAGTATGCCCTAGTCCACGTTCAAAGATTCAAAGAATCAAGGCAAACCTTGACCTCCGGAGCACTTGAAGATCCTCAAGGTCCGCAGGGACCTCCCGAGCCCCAAGCCTGTTGATTTGTGTTTGCATCTTATCACAATGTGATGCCTCAGGATCTTCACCGGGCTGTTGATCATGGCGATGTTCGGTTTCCGTGCTTGGAACCGCTGCGATGTGGAGGCGCTGGGAACGAGTCGGCCACTGCAGTGTGTTCGTTGGAAGTTGGAAGATGTTGGAAGCATGAGAAAGGTGAAACACATGAGGTGGTGTGAGGGTGTTGAATGGTGTGGATTGAACTTGACTGTTTTTTTTGAACTTCCTCTAGCACAAGAACAACAATAGTTGTTGCAGTATGTTTGGTGACATGTAGGATTCGGTGGGGCTTCATTAATGTATTGAGATTTTAGATGTTGACGATTCAAGTGATTGTCCGTGGGCAGCAAATTCTACCCGGCAGAAGAATATAGAAATACATTCTATATATTCCGTGCTCAATTCGTTTTGAGTTGCAGGAAGCGACCGGAACTGAAGTGCACTGAATCAACCCGTTGCATCAGTCACTTGTTTTCCAGGGGACCAAGATATCTTCCGCTGAGAACCGGGTACCTTGGCAGCCTTGGCAGTCAGGAAATGTGAGGACTTTGGATGTGCAAACGTTTTCCTCCATTGTGTTCGGTTGGTGTCATTCATTCATCCCTTTCAAGCAGTATCAAGCAGTCTACAAGTCTATACATGTTGTTCATGACCGAAGCCAAACAAACAACTCCCTGAAACAAGATGACCTGACAAGACTTGGTAAACCAGAGTGATTTCGTGGATTGAGTGAGCAGACACTAGTGGACAGAAGAGGCTGTTCCGACAACAGAACTAGCAGTTTGTGCTTTTTGCTTTATATCATGACAACGTCATGTGGGCACCAGCGCGTTTACTTTGCTTCCCACTCATGGCCTGTAATTGTAGCACGGAATTCTCACAAGGGGCGCATACAGAGTCCAGTACTGTTTGTCCTTGCACCTTGTAGGCATCGCAAACCGTATCATGTTTACAGGGAGAAGCTATAGGCTATAGGCATGAGTTTGGGACTTAGTATATACATGACTACGCTTGAAGCCCTGGATCCGGGCGACATTCTGAGGTGTTCTTGAACCCAGAGACAGATGCTGAGCAATCCGATCAATATCAATAGCAGTTGCCCTGCAACGTTTTCAATATCCTGCTTGCGCAGGCTGCAACCCGAGGAACACGTCACCATAATTCACAGAATGGACCCGATGTTTGCCCCTTAAGGTCCCAACGGAGCTGTTGAATTGTCATCCAGGATGGACCATTGATGTTTGCCAAGGGATGCCGTGGTTCATCCTCGGGCCACAGAATCCGAACATACCCGCAAAGCGAGTATATACAGTAAGTGTTCTGAGCCTATCAGGCTCTTGGTGGAATCTGGAGGGTTGCAGCACCCAGTGTTAGATGTATCGAGATGATTGCATAAACATGTATAAAACCAGTATATCAAAAAATATGTGTCTTGGCCAGAAAAAAGAAAACACAAACGCAAGGCCAATGGGTTTCAGCGGATACTGATGAGTATCACTTTGCGTTTTTGCACGAATCCAGGACCTACCAACTAGAGGGAGATGAGGTTCTGCAACGACATGTAACTACCTATTTTGGAATCAGAGCAGAACATAGTGACAGGGAACCTCTGTGATGTCCCAAATTTGGGCAGGATAGATATAGACTCCTCAACTTGTGCATTTGTGTTCTTATGCGTTCTTAAGTTTGGGATTGTTGCTGCATGTTGTTGTTGGTCGTATGGGATAGATACTTGTTTCCGTACCAGCAAGCTCGAGTGATGTGGCAGATGGCAGATAAAGGAGTCGGCATAGCTGCGTAGCTGCTCGAAATGTTTGGCAAGCAGCTCATCATATGTGCAGGACATGCTGTTTTCATCCGTTTTCCGCAGCCGAGCGTGCGAGACAGCCAGAGAGAGAGAGAGAGGGAGAGAGAGAGAGAGAGAGAGCCCAACCGTTCTTTGTTGCAGACTGGCGAAGACGAAGATGGCTAGTTCCTGCCGTTTAGGGACCATGAGGAGCCAAATTCGTGCATTGCACTCCCTTGATGGCCCTTTGCACTGGCCTCATGGACCGTGTGTCGGTCCCTCGTGTTGAAGACAGGGGGGGGCATTCCGGACGTCTCTGGAGCCCAGGGACGTTTTGGACCACAAACAATACTGAGCCTTGCGGCTTAAAAAGCATTGAGGATGGTGCTTGGATGTGCTTGCTCCTGTGAGGGCTGGACGGTGGACTCATGTGGACCGATGTGGACACATGTCCATCAAAACGTGGACTTTGACAGCAACGCACAGGTGATTGCCCCTCAAAAAAGCATTGTGACCAAGCTAGCTAAGGTGAACTGACATGAGATCACCGTTAGCAGTGTGGGGGGGGGAATCAACTGAGATGATCAAATCGGCATAGAATCTGTTCACAAAAAAATTGGTTGACACTTACTGCCAGTCACCTAATTGAGGCTCCAAGGGCTTAGTCCCCGCCAGTCTGGTCAAGGACTTGTCTCGGCCCAGGACACAGAAGTCCGGATCTCGCAATGCGGATGCACCTCGGCCGAACCCAGACCCCACAGCATCCTGTGTTTTAGACGCTACTAGGAGCAAGGACGCTACTAGGGGCTCCTGGCATCGCTACT